TCTTCGTTACATCGACGACTGATCAATTACTCAGTTCAGTCTCGATCGTGAGCAAATTTGAAGCAAGGATCAGCTCGCTTTCCCCAGCATCCCCTGCCATGACTGGGCCTCTCAGCTGCCAAGATTGGCTCCGCAAGTAGCAGACTCCACTCGACCAATTGCAAGCACAACCCGAGGCATCACCATTTCAGGACTTGACTTTTCGTCGCCCAATGTTGCATTTGATTCTGGGTGTCTTGGCAAACAGACCATCCCAACGTGGACATGTGGAGCCGAGTTTCATTGAGACTGAGAACCCATTCTGGCTGCATTTCTAGGGAGTAGCTTCTGCTTTCGATTTGTGGTGAGGTACCAACAAAAGTTTCGGCCTGAAGCTGGTGGATGCGCGCAGCTCTCAGTCTCAGGACTTTGGTCAAAGGGAAGATCTCATCCCATCCTGGTCCCGACTCACCTCCATAAGTCTATAAGTTGCGGCGACGGTTGCCGCCAGAAAAGAAGCATGGAACGAGGCAACTTAGAAAATTAAGAATCTTAGTTCATTCGAGGGTAATTGGGAGGGCGTGGTCAGACTGGGAGCCCATGGCTCAGTGCAAGAAGTGTTTGGCGGCCCATGTGCCGAAACACCGCGATCACGCGTATCACGTTTCCATACCTTTCCCGACAGTTCCATAGTTGAAATCATCAATGCGAGAGGAAAGCACACTATCAAATCGCAAAGGTGCTGTTCTCCTTGATCTCATCTAACTTGGTTTCGCTGAGGCTTTGGGCAGCTGAGCTTGGAGATCTCTCACGATTGCGTCGGTGCCTGCGCTGCAAGAAGTCTTTTGACATCTTTTCACATGGGTTCGAGAATGCAGCAACATTTTGCAGCAAGTGGCAAGTCCGTGGCATCTTGCAGGTACTTACCCGACCCAGACAATGCTGAGGAGGTTTTGCGAATCTGTCGAGAGGTGAACCCATCATTGTTGGTTGGCAAATGTCGAACATCACCGAGCTTAGGTAATGCTGCGCTGTAATGCTTTTCATGTCAGGTGCAGCGTGCTGAGGCAGACATGCTCGGCAGATTTCGTCATGCTCTTAGTCGGTGGCTGTGCTCGGGGTGCTGGGACTTGTTGATGGTTTATCTCCATGTGCTCAGCCAGTGACAAACAGGGTCTCGCTTCTCGATGCTTGCGAGTGGAACTACCGAGGCCTTCAGGCTGGCAGCGAGTGAACAGTGGAGTTTGCGCCGGAAAAGTGGTCTCCCGCAAGTGTCTTGTGATGTTTTCCATTCCACTCTGGTTGACAATGCAGTAGTCGGGCAAACACGACATCTGCATGTCAAACCTTTCCGGTGCCTTTTTTTGGCTTAGACATATGTGGCCTGGCCTCTCTTTGATTCAGTGACTTTGTCACCATGACAGACTCGGAGTACTCCTTCTCGTTGACTACCTTCGCCCCATCCGGCAAGCTTTTGCAGATCGAGTATGCGCTCAACCGCGTTGCTGAAGGGCGCCCCGCCCTAGGCATCAAGGCAAAGAACGGAGTTGTGCTGGCCACGGAGAAGAAGGTCACAAGCCCACTTGTGGACGAGAAGACTTTGGCCAAGGTGGAGAACCTCTCCGACAGTGTTGGGATGGTCTATGCTGGGATGCCAGCAGACTACCGTGTTCTACTTCGCAGAGGGCGCAAGGTTGCACAGCAGTACTACACCATGTATCGCGAGCTCATTCCAGTTTCACAAATCGTGCGTGAAGAAGCTGCGATCATGCAGGAGTTCACCCAGTCAGGTGGAGTGCGGCCGTTTGGAGTTTCCCTGATGATTGCAGGATTTGATGACAGTGGCCCACAGCTTTTCCAAGTGGACCCCTCCGGCACCTACTTTGGGTGGAAGGCCTCGGCCATTGGCAAGAACCATGTCAATGCGAAATCGTTCTTGGAAAAGCGCTACAGCGAAGACATCGAGCTAGAGGATGCAATCCACACAGCCATTCTCACGTTGAAGGAGGGTTTTGAGGAAGCAATTACGGCTGACAACATTGAGATCGGCATCGTGGGCAACGACAGAAAGTTCCGAGTGCTGACTCCAGCAGAAGTCCAGGATTACCTAGGCGAGGTAGAGTAGGCAGCTGCGAAATGAGCAGTCTACTTCAACCAGGACTCGGCACAGATCCTGGTTTCAGAAGTGAAAGTATGTCACGCGACAGTGCCAAGTACCCAATCTACGGCATGACGTACAGATCCGGTGTGCACGGACGGCCTGAAAAGCAGTTCCAGGGGTGGTTAGAATCTTCTTCTACTGTGCTGATCAGCCTGTTTAGGCCGACACTTGCATTTCAAGTCGATTTGTCGATGAAGGCTCAGAGGTTCAAAGTCACTCATGCAGATCCTGTGCAGAAGCAGCAAGTCGTGCAAGATAAGAAATCATTCGAGGAGTTATGAGGAGTTGCTAGCTCGGGTACCATGAGCGCATTGCACATTCTAGATGCCAAGTGCAAACAAAGCATCGCGCGGATCGTCCGATATCTCACCTATTTTAGCAAGCATATGGCTGCATCGCTATCTACGAGATGCTGCAGGCAATGCGAGCTCAAGTGCCCATGCCGTGCGTTCCGTTTTCAGACTTCATCTTTCGAGGCGGCGCTAAGGCTGTGGTCCTCTTTGCCGAAGAGATCGACAACCGGAGCCAAGAGTGTGCAGGTTCGGGCCTGCCTGCATCACATGGCATATGTGCGGCAACGGCTGCAAAGCAACAATGTGTCTTCTTGCCTCTGGCAGGCCTGCGCAGGGCCGCTTTACAATGATGTGCGTGGGATCGCACGAGTCCGAATCAACCGCTACTCGATTGCAGGGCACTGCCGGCCGAGCTAATTGTATTCTGCTGGTAGCTTTGTCTTTCTTACTTGCGGAGCAAGGGATGCTGTCGCCATCTGTCGCCAAGCAAGGACAGTTTGCGTCATCCTTGCAGCTTTACCGTTTTCATGCCTGCCGAGGTTACACTGGTGTCAAGGCAGTGAAAATGAGTCCTCCCAAGACTGAATGGCAGGCGCGACCTACTACCAGTCCCACTATTACCACGACTACCACGACTACCACGACTACCACTTCTACCACTACTACCATTACTACCACTACTACCACTACTACCGCTACTACCGCTACTGCCGCTACTACCGCAGTACGGCGAGGACGACGACGACGACTATTACTACTGCTACTGCTACTGCTACTCCTACTACTACTGCTACTACTACTACTACTACCTATACTACTACCACCTCCTACTACTACTACTACTACTACTACTACTACTACTACTACTACTACTACTACTACTACTACTCCTACTGCTCCTGCTCCTGCTCCTGCTGCTGCTGCTGCTGCTACTGCTGCTGCCACTGCTACTCCTACTACTACTACTACTACTGCTACTACTACTACTACTACTACTACTACTACTACTACTACTACTACTAAGCTACTACTAAGCTACGGTCACGTTTGCGACGGTGCACTTTTCCAGCCTTTCTACTGTAAAAACCTAGGTTTCGCGCATATTCCGTTCTCCAGTCCTCCTTCCCTTTTTCTTGTTGTTCAATGTACTTTCAAAGTACATCGTGCGAGTTTGGGTTTGGGGATGCTAAGCTAAAACATTGGTATCTGCGACACTTCGTGGCTTCGTTGCGTGCGAATGGCCAGAGCATCCATGTCCGCACGATGATAACGTCCGTGTTACCAGAGCATCCATGTGCGCAAGATGATAACGTCCGTGTTACCAGAGCATTCATGTCCGCACGATGATAACGTCCGTGTTACCAGAGCATCCATGTCCGCACGATGATAACGTCCGTGTTCCCAGAGCATCCATGTCCGCACGATGATAACGTTCGTGTCCACTGCGTGCGCATGGCGAGAGCATCCATGTCCGCACGATGATAACTTCCATGCAAAAACATCGGTATTCACGACACTTCGTGGCTTCGTTGCGTGCGTGCGAATGGCCACCGCACGATGATAACGTCCATGTACCAGAGCATTAATGCATGTCCGCACGATGATAACGTCCGTGTTACCAGAGCATTCATGTCTGCACGATGATAACGTCCGTGTTACCAGAGCCTCCATGTCCGCTTGAGCCCAGCACTCAAATCCGCTCAGTGTCTTCCAGCTCGAAAAGACAAGATAAAGGGAACTCTGCCAAGCACCTGCCACAAGCTGAAAACACTGTCAAACGCATGGTTTTCGTCACTGTCCTGCGCAACTAGTACTAGTACTACTACTACTACTACTACTACTACTACTACGACGACTACTACTACTACTACTACTACTACTACTACTACTACTACTACTACTCCTACGGCTACTGCTACTGCTACTGCTACTGTCACGACTGCTACTGCTACTGCTACTGCTACTACTGCTGCTACTGCTACTGCTACTACTACTACTACTACTACTACTACTACTACTACTACTACTACTACTACTACTACTACTACTACTACTACTAAGGGGCTCACGGAGTACCCAATTGCTCACGTGCTGTGCTGTGCATTTACATACAAACTCTCTGCTTGGATAGGGCTGAGTGTGACCCAACTGCTGCTCCAGGCTTTCGGCGTTTTCTTGAATAGCTCATGTTGTCCGGAATGCGCAGGCGGCCGCTGAGAAGGAGTTTCTGCAAATGCGAGCGTCGATACCGAAGGACGAGTGCCTCGACGTTTCGAGCGAACTAAGCAGATGTGTAAGGACTACCTTGGAGCACATGGGCGAGTGAATCCTGTAGGCCACTCTGTAGGCAACACTGTGTTTAGATTTAAGCTGTCTTGATCTGGTCTTTTCGAAAGTAAAGTCTGATGCAGACGACTGCTAGATACGTGGCCACTTGCGTCGTGAACAAATTACCGTTGAGGCTTCTCTGGCATTTGACCCCAGATGATGCTCCTTGCCGGCAGCCATGGAGCCCCGAAGCTACGACAGGTCATTTGGTAGGATTGGTGAGTCTCAGTGCTGCAACTTCTCTGTCGCCCATTCTCTAAGTTGCATGGATGTCAGAATATGGGTTCCAACGGTTCATGCGGCAGCTTGCAAGGATCAGCATTTGTCGATTGACAGCAGTGCTGCACATCCATTGAAAGAGGTCGGAAAAGCTAGTTCTTGTTTCCTGCCATCAGAAACTCACTCGCTTGAGGTTCGGCATCTGTCTCCCGAGATGAGAAAGTGCTTGACACTGCGCTGTGCAAGCAACAGAGATGTTTCCAAGTGGAGAGCTTCAGCAGCATTCAGTGGGTGTACTGTCAACATGCGACTTCCTAAGAACAAACGAGAGATAGAGAGAGAGAGAGAGGGCGACCTCCCTAGGGAGGTCATGCGCACCGCAAGCAAGCAAGCAAGAGAGTGAGCGTCCTTCATGCCCCGAAGAAGAAGAAGAGAGTGAGATATCGAAATTGGGTCCAATACTGCAATGCCTCGTGCCCCCACTACAGCCCACTGGGAGGGGCTTCGGGCATTGAGTCAGCCATGGATTGGAACATTCGCACCAAAAACGCATCTCGCTGCCAAGGGCTAACCCAGTACACAGCAAAGGGGGGGGGGTTCCGAGTCTGCAGTGTCCACCCACCAGTTCTATAGCCAGGCCAACAGGCGGGACTTTCGGGGACACCCTCGAGAACGTACCCAAGCTGAGGCCCCGAGAGCAGGGGTCCGACACAACCCAGCCATGCAGCGGTTCTACCGCCTCAACTTGTCAACACCAGCAGAAAGACAGAAAGACAGGCGGGAGGTCATACGAGGTTACGGCGAGGGAATTCAAAGCCATGGAAGGAGGGAGGTGGAAGTTGAAACGCTGCCCATGATTGCCGATGACAGCGAATGACAGCGACGACCCCGAGAGCGTGTCGGACAAAGGTAACGCAAATAAGCCTCAGACGCGCGCAGACGAAGTCGACTGGGGGAGTGAAGTGCAGGAAGAAGAAGAAATGCGGGCCAGGGCGATGTGGAACTGGACTTCAGGCCACCTCATTCAGACTCAGTTATCGGCGAAGACTGTGGAGGCAGCAAGCATGCAATATTATGCAATGCTTGCTTTGGAACCCATGAATAGGGTGGTGGGGGGGGGCAGGCTGCGCCTCTTGAACCCTGACTCAAGAAAGCGAGTATGGCCGAGTCAATGCCAAGCATGCGAGCGTGAACATGCCATGCTGTTTTTGGTCGAGCAGATTTTTGGCAAGCCCATACTTCTGCACGCAATAGAAGATGGAAGAAACACCACAAGGCCCTAAGTAGTTCGTTCTGCATTCATGCAGTTCGTTGCTCAGCTGAGGGGCCCATCAGCTCATCCGCTCCTAAGCAGCAATTGGGCCATATGAATGCCCATGTGCATCTTCGGCTGATTGTATCTGCAGCCTTCCGAATGGAAACCGTGCAACATGTGAGACCGACACTTGGCAAACCTACAGGTTTCAAGCTTGCTTGCAGCATCGCTGATAAAGGCAAGTTTCAGCGACGCCCTTTCGACACGAACAGCCACGCTGTGCGAATTGCTTGCCTCACGGAGAAGATTCTGCGCGCCTTTGCTGCATTTTGGCCCATTGTGTCCACGCACTTCTGCTGGCGACATCTTCTGGAGCTTGAAAAATGGTCCTCAGGATGCCCGGCTTAGCCTTTGCACATTCCAAGCCATCTTGTGTGTCCCGATGTGACCCGTTCATGGGATTGATGACCGGACCTCGACCCAAGCACACTCCTCAACTTCTGCAAAGGGATTGCGAGAAAACATTGCACTGAAGTTTTCGCTGTGGTCCCTGCTCTACGAAGAATGTTCCAGTTGTGTTCAGAAACAGTGTTCCATTGTTCCTCCTCATGTTCGCTGCTGTTTGTTGGTTTGACAAATGTTCTGGTGCTTCATCAAACGCTGTTCTCGTTTGAAAATAAAGAACATAAACATAGTAGCTCTCCGTTAAAAAGTGCTCAGCACTTTGCTCCTGCATGCAGCTGCCGATGCAGAAGCCAAAACGGCAATTCGGGCCTGTTTCAACGTTGCGTGTAGACCTAAGAATGGATCTTCAGTACCGTTGAATTATGCCTGTCGAGTAGGATCGTAGCCTTACATGAGGTTGACAACATGCTGCTTCTGCTTCGCCTGGTACAGTAGGGGTGGCAAAGTTGGGCGCCGGTTTCAAATTGGATGGAACTCCGCTAGGACTAAGCATGAACAACTCGTACAGGCCCAAAACAAGCTGAGACATAGAGAGCTGCAGTTCGTTGAGGTTGAAGCGCAGGGCCAAGGGCTCAGGAATGATCAGCCCCGTTCCAGGAACAGCTCCATGGCTCCGGGCCGTTCATTTCTTGACTAAGCTTGGCAGACAAAAATGTCCAAACAGTGGGAAGCGGTGGAGCCAGCCGAAATGTGTCTCTTTTTGCCGAGAGGTGAAAAACGGGCATTCAGCTGCATTATCTGTGTTCGCATTTCGGGCATGTTAGAGCTGGCATTAGAGAAGGAAGCCGTTGCAGCACATGGCAACTGTTGTTTTTGACACATGCCTAAGGTTTGCGAGCACATTTGCTGAGCTGCTTGGCTAGACTCGACCCCCCACTTCATGTGTTCAAGCGCTGCACCCTGTTGCCTTGCCAGTCCGAAGTCGGAGATGGGTACTATCGTGTGTATGTTTTTGTTTCGTGGTCCAACAATCGATCTTGCTCGTACATTCAGAGAGTTACTTATATACAATAATATATGTATGCATATATATATATATGTGTATATGATGTCCCTATCATCGATGGGATGCTGCACGAGATTGCAAGGTGCAGAGCAGTTTCGGCGCTTGGGAATTCAATGACAGTCGTCCTGTAGGAACTGGAACAATTTGCATGCGGTGTTCACGGATCTCTGGGTCTCTCGTTGGTTTAGAGAAACTAGTTCCCGCGCACTTGACGGAGAGCCCAGAATCAAGCAGAGTACGTCAAGAGCCTGCATTCACGTTGATGTTCGCAGAACTTTGCTTAGTGACGTTGATCTTGATTATTGCCTGCATGTCGAATTTGAAAGGGACAGATATGGGTGGTCCTCATCAAGAAGCCAAAGAGTCGATGAGGACAGCATGCTCCCGGTTCAGATCGATGCCACTTGTAGAGCAACGATGGCCATGTAGGAACTGTTAGCCAATGCCGTTCAATATCAGCACATAGGCTGAAGCTGTCACACGTGCGTGATTTGCAATACTTGCATCAGGCTGAGTTTGGGCATCAATGCAGCAGAACAGCATAGTTAGCCATGAAAGATAGTTGTTCTACCACTAGCCGGGACGCACGAACAGGGGTCAGGAGCAACAGTCAGTTCGTTCGTGGATGATTGGTGTGCTTCTTGCATTCTCTGCTCTCGGATTCCTCCACAAGACTTAAGATTGAGACTTGGAGCATCCGCACAGGAAATGCCTCACGCGGCGAAATAGAGCCATGAAAGTGCTGTACAAGCCTCCCAGCTGTCACCAGTCGCTTCGGTTTCGGCACTGAGGGTGCTGTTGTGGCTCACTTATTGCAGTGACAACCACACTGTTCCGCCGCCTAGGGTGGACTACCCGCTCTACAAACACACGTGCCAAGAGCTGGGAATCAGATGCATTCGATATGCGCATCTTGTCGAAATGAAGATTTTGCACCAGTTCGGCCACCAGACGTGCGCATCTTACTATGCAGAAATCCTGCAATCCCTGCTCCCACGTCTATCAGGCTGTACCGGCTCTTCCGTTGCTGTTGTGGAGAGCAAAGCCAAGTCTAGCATGCGCAAGGATTCCCATGAAATCAGACCCGCAGACGATGATCAACGCGCAAGCTGTCGATGGTGATCACGCAGCTTTGACCAATGATGCGCAAGAGTTCTTGTCTCATGCTGCCTCAGTTGTGCCCCTTCCTTCAGTCCCCCCTGACAGAGTCTGACAGGCACGCACCCAAGCCAGAAACAGCAGCGCTCACGCTAGCTGACTCCTTCCGAATGTCATGTTTTCTGTCAACAACGACACCCTGCATGCTTCTACGGTCGGAAATACCCATTCAGATTTCAGATCAACCGGACAGATGCTTTATAGGTCGCTGCAAAAAATCTGAGCAGTGCCAGGGTTGGGGTATTTATGACGGACTTGTTTGTTGCAGCCTTGGTGTTTTGTATCATCAGAACAGGCAAAATGGCTCATTCGGCAGCGGCTGCTGGGCAGCATGTAGCTTCTGACGTTGCTTTCAGGGGATGACCCATCTCAAGCAAGGATATACAAAGCCAAATTCCGACCTCGGGAACTACGTGAACCTGGCTCTCAAAGGAGAATTCGATGGTCACGTCCCTGACCTCAGCTCTGACGTGTTGGTGCAGTCCGCATGGTCGAGACCGTTTCGGGACACCATGGTAAGGTTTATGAGCCATTTGTTTTGGTTTGATACCTTTTGGCAGCTTCTCCACACACACCAACGCATGGCCCTGATGATAGCTCTTGAGATTCAGTTTGGATTTGCTGTAGGGTTTCGCCTCAGGATGCTAAAACTTGTCGGGTGCAGGGCCATGCAGGGTCCATCGCAGCCCAATATGCAAGACGTGTAGGTCACCCGATGGAGCCGGTGCCGGCGAGCCATGGCAGGCGCATGCCAGCCGTTAGACCGTTAGCAGTAGAGACTGCGGGAAGCAGCGAACCACTTTTGAGGCGCTTGCGGATATGTAAGCCTCATTCGTTCTATCATCATGTCACTATGTCACATGAGGGAGGTTGTTTCGAATTGGTTTCACCTGCAGCAACAGGCCCAAAGCCACGCCGCAGCAAGTCTCAACCGCCTGGCCGTATGGAGTTCGACAAGACAGAGTCGAAGGGAAGCAGGCGCCTGCTCCAAATTCCAAAGCGCAAATTTGTGGCTTTTGCACCCAGAGAACTGCTGTTCATGTGGCTAGGTCGTGTACAATCCAACAGCGGCTGGCCGGGGCTTCCAGCCTGCAAAGATGAAAATTGCAGGTGGACGTGCTCAGGAGCCTGAGTGATCGACGCGGGGCAAAATCAGGTTGCGATGCATGCCGAGGATAGCTTCGTACTTCAGCTTTACTGCCAGAGTTCAGGGTCCACCACGGGCACCACTCATCAGATGTAGATTTGCATGCAGAGTGGCCGCTGGCTGTCGTCAATACACCACAAGTGACATAGCTCTTTCATCCTGAGCGTTTGCTTCCGGCTCTTGGCTTTACGGGTTTCAACAGACTTGTGGCGATCGCATCTGGAGCCGAAGTGAGGAGGCGAAGGGCGAATTTATGTGAACTTTGAAATTTGGACACTCTTCGTAAACCTTGACAAGGCCTGAAGGATGCAAGTGCTTTCAGAGTTCATGTTGTAACCGGCTGACCGTTGCAAGCCTACTAAGGCTTTTGAGAGTTGTGTCCTATGCAGGATAAGGAGGAAAGAGCCGCTTCAATGACACATCCGACAGTGCCGTCCCTGTTGCCGACCAGCCCTCTCCACGCCAACTAGTTCCATAGAGCCATGCAGTGCGGTGCTGTGGCAACAGCAAGCTGTGAGTGCGGTGTTGAGTGCCAGCATCAGTTTGACAGAAGATTGTAGCCAAAGAGGGACCTGAATTTCAACCAGCTGAAGTAAACCTCGGAACACGTCGGAACCAAGTGAAACGTCGGGGCGTGATTGCATTCACAGCCATGGTCTCAACTTGTCTTCATGTCGAGCCATCTGGGTGCCGCCGCTTGTTTGCAGACCGTGCTGCTTGCCAGCCATGTGAGTTGAACAAAGTAGGTCCCACCTCTCCAAGGGAGGCCTCTGCGATACCGAAGGGTCACGGAACAGTGCGACAGCCTGATAGAGTCTGGGCTTGGGGCACGCATTCCCTTCTTACAAGTTGCCAGAAGAAGACATGTGCGCTGTGCTGCACACTACATTGTGAGCAGTTACGTCTCTGAGCAATTCGCGGCCAGATCATACATTGAATAGTTCGTGGTGTAGTCCTGCTGCAATTATTCGCGTGTGCTCGGTCGTGTCAATGCAAAAGCTACTGCATGCAAGGTCCTTGGAGATGGCATGGGCTCTGCTCTTGGCTCTGGTCGAGCTCCTACTCTCGTGTGCTTCCAATATCTTCTGTGTATAGGGTATCGTATATTCTACAGTATGTTCATCCTTTTCAGTATACAACAGTATCCAATACTGTACATTTCGTCGCATGCAAGGCTCAAATTTGTTTAATGGCCTCTCTTCAAAGGTACATGCAGGCTTCGCAGGGCAGGGGGATGCAACCTGAAGTTCGTTGAGAGATCTAGGCATCTGTCTCTCAGTCTTGCTTTGAGCGACGGACTCCTGCAGAAAAATTAGCTGACTCTGAGAGGCTGGCTGTTTCAGGCCGTAGCCGTCGAGATTGTTTAGTTGTGCAGACGCTTAGTGCTCGAAGTCTTATGTCACAGACTCTTTCAGTGCTGAGGCCAACGGGCTCCTCCCAGCATGGGGGCAGGCCAGCATGTGAAGACAAACTGCAGTGGCACCGGAGTTTGAAATCAACATGTCGGATCAAGTTGTCCACCGTGCCAGTCAGTCAAATGCTGGTGTTGATACCTTCTCGCAACGCCGGGACATGTTCCGTGCTTTTCTTCACCCAAGGTTTCACGTGTATCTCCTTCGTTGGTCCATGCTGTCCTGCAAGAAGAAGCCGTATTGCGCATCTTGCGACCCGTTGTGATGTCACCTCTGATTGCCTCAGATTTCCATGCTTATGGCTTTGGTCCGTTTGTATCAGACCTCATTGTACAGTATGTGGATGAACGTACCAAATGTTCACCTCTGCTGATTTGTTCAACACTACTAGTGTTTATGCTACGCGATGTTCTCCAATTGCATAGTCTGGCTGCATGTCCCTATGCAACCCAAGAGTATGCGCACTATCGGCCATACTGTAGTATGTCTCAATGTGCACCATCAGACGTGCAATGGTGCGCAGAACGATTTCTTGCCCTGGTAGGCCTAGAATATTGCACATTACAAAGCGTTTCAATACTTTAATGAACTATCATGTTCTCGTGTATTGTACCTTTCCTACACGCTGTATTACCACAGTACTTTGCATACTCTGTATACATATTCAACGATGTTGCTGCACCATAGTATCTTAGAATATTTGCTCTGACTCTCTCTCCCTCTCTCTTTCTCGCTCTTTCTCTCTCTCTCTTTTTTCTATGCTCTGCGTACTGTATGCGACAAAGCCTATGCGACTCCATATTCGAATGTACAAGAAAGACATCGTGTCCGTAAAGCATCCGGTCGCTTGGAACCGGGGAAGGTCCCGACCGTGAGCGTGACGTCGCTTGCGTTCACGGACCAGGCTGAGTGTCTGGTGTTTGAACAGTGCTGAGGGTTCTGCAGCTCAGCTATATAGCAGTTTAGTATACTACAGCCTAGCGTATACAGTCGAGTGCACAGGATGGCATGTTGTGGCGTGCTCAAGTATGATCTGGTATCGGTATAGTTGACTTGGTTCAGAGCAGGGCCTTGGGGAGCCACAAGGAGCCTGTGGTACCTCTGTGTGGACGGTGGTTGGTTGCCAGGACCTCGACGCCAGTGAGATCGGCGGCCCCGTGACATGGCAACCTCCGGGCAGCACTTCGACTGCCCGGGGGCCCAATGCGCTGCTTCTGGATTTGGACTCGGAGTCTTGGAGTTCTTGTTGGGTGATGCAATTTTGAGCCTCCTTTTTCAGGTTGTGTGGGCCCTTGTTTTGCAAGTCTTCCTTGAACGCGAGCCAGCAGTCGTGAAGTCTGAAGTCCGAAGCCCTGTGACCTTGCCCAAGAAACGCCGCGGACTCGGAATGAAGGCTGAAACTTGTCATACCCAGTCCCCACACCCAAAGTTGCCAAAAGCTCTTCAGCTTCTTCAGCGCAATTCGAAAGCCATCCAAAGCTGGAGACAGGAAGACAGTCCTCTTGTAGGAGGTACCTGCTAGCGGATATAAGTATCATTGTAGGGGTTACTATAGGGATTCACTCCCCCTTGAGCACCAGTAAGTCCTTGTGAAGGGCTGCTTTGCTATGCTGCTGCCAATCCTGCCCCGTCCCGTTTTGGCACAAGCGGAACTTCAGGCCAAAAATCTGAAGAATGAAAGGCTGCGTGGTTTAGGGTTTAGGGTTTAGGCTTCCATTTCCGTGACCCTGGGCTCGTCGCCGCCGATGCAGGGCGTTGAAAGCGTCGGTCTTTTGCTCCCTACCAGTGATGTCTTACAGCCAATGGGCTGAGGGAAACGATGGCTCTAGCACGGCTCTGACTGCGCGAACTGGGGCTGCGAGTGCCATGGACCTTGCCAACAATCGCATGTACATGTATGGAGGCATCAGCGGATCGACCTATGGCGACACATGGTACTACGATCTTGTGGCCAACACTTGGACTCAGTTCAACGATGGTTCAGGCACCAGTCCGACGATCCGCTCCACGCACTCCATGGTTTTGGACACGGCTAATGGACGTTTGTACATCTTTGGAGGCAAGTGAGACCAACCTAGGAACCCGCCAACTTAACCCTTGCAACCCCTAAAAATCCAAACCGCCTGAGACCCCTAAACTTTAAACCACCGCAACAGCCTCAGCAGCAGCCGCCGCAGCAGCTGTAGCAGCCCTGGACCCTGGGCCCTAAACCCTAAACCTGAACACTAATCCCTAAACCCGAAAACCTAAATGCCAGACCCTAGACCTGGGAAGCCTAAGCTATGCCCCCAGAGGACAAGGAGGTCCAAGCTGGCATCACCGGAACGATGATTGGTACCTTGACATTCAGGCGCGTGTAGGGTTTAGGTTTAAGGGTTAAGGGTTAAGCTCTTCGGGAGGTCAGGGCGTGTTTTGCAACGTTTGTCGTGTAGGTTTTCTGTTTTGGTTCGGATGTTCAGGGTACTGGGCTTTACAGTTTGAGGGGCCCTAAACCCTAGACTCTAAGCCCAAAGCCCAAAAGCCAAAAGGCTAAGCCCAGGGCCTAAACCCAAAAGCCTACACACTAAAGCCTGAAGCTTAAGCCCCAAAACCCGAGATCCTAAAACCTAAACCTACAGCCTGAAGTCTTCTGCCAAAACCCTGAAACACCACCCCCAAACTCCTCACCCTAAACCTTAGTTGCGCTCAGTTGGGAATGAGGGAATGAAGGAATGAACCATCCCTACCATCCCTGGTTACCTTAAAGGGAGCCCTGGATGGTTCATTCCCTGATTCCCAACTGAGCACAACAAAGGAACTCTTGAGCCCTAAACCCTTCTTCTCTCCTTCTTCTGTCTTTCCGTCCGTACATGCATGGTTAGAGCTTCCTGAGGATGGTTGAGGATGGTTTCGACGTGCAAGTGCATGGTTGAGCCTTAACCCCGAATCCCTAGATTCTGAGCCCAAAACTCTAAACCTTAAACCCTAAACCTTAGACCCTAAATCCCCGAAGAGCCTTTCTTTTCAAAGGTGGGAGTGAAGGATTTGGCCTATTTCGGCTTTCGAATTTCAGGTTTGGGTTTTAGGCTTTAGGGTGTAGGTGTTAGGTTCAATTGTTTACGGTCTAGGGAGTAGGTGTTTGTTTTGATGGTCTAGGGTTTCCATTTCAGGATTTTGGTCGAAGGGTTTGGAGTCTGGTTTTGAGGGTTAGGGCTTGGGGCTATTTGGAATAATGATAGGTGTACGTGGAACAAGACACGTAATGCGGACATCCGAGTGTGTGGTCTAGATTCTGCGAAGCCATAAACCCTACACGCTTACAACCCTAAACCCAAGAAACACCCAAAACTAGACCCAAGAACCCAAACCAATACACGTTTAGGAAACCCCTTTGAAAAGGCCCTGATAAACCTTAACCCTAAACCAAACCCTAAACCCCAATCCTCACCCCTTTTAGGAAGCCCTGACCGCCAAACCCTGAACTTCCTGCAGTGCCAACTTGTTGAAGCCGAAATTCCGAAAGGCTACCGTGTAAGGTTTAGGGTTACGTACGTAGGACCTTTAGGGTCTATTTGGCGCTGCGCTTGGCCTCGACCTC